AAAAGAATTTGTGCGAGTAGTATTTTAATAGTAAACTTTCTATGACAAAATAATATTAAAAGTTAAAAGTGCTCTCCTGTAAACGGATAATTTTTGTGTTGCGCGTTTGTGTAATGATTATTATTGTGCGTAGAGTCGACTTTTGCACAAAAATAATTTCAATTGTACATAAAATATAATTAAAAAGAAATTTATAAGTAAAACACAATAGGAAACTAAAAAAAATTTTCGATGCCAAATTAAATACCCTGAGCGCCAGCAAAAGCTCGTACCTGCCACACCTATCCAGCCTCAGTAAGTACATCACTACCTAACAATATTTACTTGCTCCTGGCTGGCTATTAATAGTTATTTTTGGTACTAGTGTGTTATGTTGAAAATAAGTCACGCAAGAAAGATTTATACCACGAGGTCGTCAGGCCGAGTGGTATAAATTCTCAAGTGACTTAGGAAACAACACACGAGTGGTATACAATGTTTTATCCAACAAACAAGTGGAAGAACTCGTTTTTTTATGAGATAATAATTAATAAGTTTTGTGATCAAATCAAAGCTTCTTGCAGCTCAGTACCCTATAAATGTCAGAATGACTTGACAGTGACTTTTTACATTTTGGTCAAAGTAGGGTGTTTGTTTGGTTGCCACGGGCATGATACATTGTTATAAACAAGATACACATAAGGTTTGTTCCAACTATGAAGACTAGATATAAGGAGGCGAATCGGCCTTGGTCAAATTTCAAATTTCCGTCCCTATTTTTATGAAGTTCCAAAAACTACTGTAGTTGGCGGGTGGCAAAATAACGACGTCTATTTTCTATGCAAGTCAATGGGAATTAAGTGATTTTTGTAAAATTTAGTGAAAAGAATAAAAATAAGTTGAAATAAAGAACCTGACTATAAGTAACAATGAGTAACAAAAAACAGCAAAGCAGGATTTGCTTCGTTGCGGATTGAAAAACGGGATATAAATCCGATATAAAATTAAAGAAAACACAAGGAGATAAAAATCCAAGTCTTTTTAAAGCTCCTAGTGTAAGTAAAATAATGTATTTATTTCTAAATAATATATATTTATTGTAAAATAGTCACAACCCGTATCTTACGGAGTGTAGTTTATTTAATTACAAAATTCTATAATAAAAAATAATAAAGTCATAAATCCTAACTTACAAACAACAATAATTACACATTAAATTTAACTTACTAGAAAAGAAAATTTGCTTTTTTTATGTTTTTTGATGTTAGATGAAGAGTTACTACTGTTATTTTTCTTCATGCGCTAGTTCAGTGTGATGTCATTTTGGTTCCACTGACATTTAATTCCAACCAAACTTTTAACAAAAACATCAATAAATTTGACATATACGTTTTTACTGTTTTTATTTTATTTCAAAATATTGTTTGCAGGTCATAAAAATAGTTTAAAGGTATGTAATTGGTAACTAAACGATTGTATATTTGATACATGATATCTACTTACTTTAGGAATATATTTATAAAAGTGAAAAAAACGATATAATTTAGGTAAACAAAACGAACAAAACGCAATCAAAAAATCTACTGTCACTTTAATTGTCAGTGGAACCATAATTACATCATCACTAAACTAGCGCATTGAACACCAATTTAGTCATTGCAAATATTTTTTATAGGATCCTAAACGTTTAGAACAATGGCAGCATGTGATTCCTAGGGCTGATAAAGTACTGTCTAGTTATGATTCTGTTCTTTTTAGAAGATGATATTTTAAAATTTGATGAGACTATTTTAACTAATGGTACTGTTAACAAAATAAAAGGGGAAAGGCCGAGATTAAAGAACGAAGCAATACCATGTATATTCCCGAATTTCCCTTCATACTTGTCCAGTATTAGGAAAAGACGAAACCACCATTCAACCGAACTGAATTTGTTAGAATAAAAAAATGAAGAAAATACTAGAACCTATTGCTGAAGAAACTATTCACCAGGATGATGAAATTGTAGTTGTCGAATACAAAATTACCACAAAAATGTTCTTACCAAATTTCACCATTTAACAAACCTTTTCAAATTTGGTCATACCTAATTTTCATTTTATTTAGATAAAATTAAATAATGAATAGAAAATGTTTAACATCGAGACTCATTTATAATTAATACCAACAGTATTTTCTGTATTTTAGTTAGCAATTAAAACAAAGACTTATTTACAATAATTAAAATCAATAGTATTTTCAGTGCTTTAGTTAGCAATAAACAGTTTGATTTTTATTATTTTCATAAAATTTTGTAAAATCCCTGACTAAATATTTTCATTTAAACCGTGTCTTAGTATGCCCTTAGCCTTATTTAGCTTTAATTAAAAAATAATTAGCCCTACCTATCTTTCAACACATCATCAATATTTTGCATTTTACTTAAATAGGAATAAATAGATAATAATATATCAATTAAAATAGGTAAGACTTATTTAGAAATAAATACAACAGTATGTTCTGTGCTTTATTTAGCTATAAA